GGAAGGCAGGAGGACCAGGATCTGGGGGGCTGTTCTCTCAGGTTTGGGTAGGTCATGAACACTTGTTTGGTCTCAGTCAGTGCACCATAAGAGCCAGATCTTCTCAGGAGAGTGATGTATCTGGGATTCTGCGGCTCAGAAAATGATACCCCAAAGTATGGCACTTTGGTGTGCTGAGTACTTTGAACTAAAGGATATTGGAAGACCTCAGAATCAACCTCAGAACCATGGTCTCTTTGACTTCCTGCTTCCTAACTCTCACCCTTCATTTCTCCCCCAAAGAAAGTCACAGAAACATAATTCCTTGTCCCCTAGGTGAGTCATAAAAACTGGAACCCTTCTCCCCCAAAGCAAGCCATGAACCCTGGAAATACTACTCTCATCTCCCCCTTTCTGTCTAGAAGGTGGCCATAAAGAAATTCTCTGACCTACCCTTATCTGATATTAGATCATAAGACCCTCATTCCGGAGGGGTCCTGCATCATACCCAGAAGGAAGAAATGCTACAAAAGAGAGGCCAAGAAGAACCTGAGCAGACAGGCCTTGCTGGGTTTTCCCATTCAGTCTATTACTACTGGATTATACCCTTTTTGTCCAATACAAAAAGAGTACATGGCTATCTACTCTTCATCATCAAACCTAAGCATACAAAGTTTCCCCTGGGTCTTGGGGTCTACATTTTTGAAGTCTCCCATATCACATAAAAGTTTGATTAAATAAATGTGTTATGCTTTTCTCTTGTTAACCTATCTTTTGTTCTAGGAGTGTGGTGGGGAGGAAAGATGTCACTCCTTTTTGTCCCTAGGAGGACATGAACCAGGAATGCACTGCAGTCATTGTTGACAGGACAGATGAAGGTGGGGAGAGGAACCCAAGATCAAGTATTTCAGGGGAGAAGCAGTGAAGGTCCCATATGAGGGATAGGGAGTGGTCACAGGAAGGAAGGGAAGAATAAGAGAGGTGCTTTAAGGAGCTGCCACACTAGGCAGGGCTACACAAAGCTCACAAAGGAGATGAGGGCATAAAGATGGTTGTGGGTGCGGGGACGGGGGAGGACAAATACACACAACACAGCTCAGCAGTGGTAGAGGGAGAGGGGGATGCCAAAGGGAAAATCACGTGTTGGGTTAAGCCTGTTGTACATGAGGTGACAGAGCAATGACTGCAAAGGCCAGCATGCTCTGTCTCCCTCAACCACTGCCACCCTCCAATGGCTAATTGTTACCCCCTTCAAGAGTCCAGCTGCTGCTGCTGGCTGAAAAGGGAGGAAGGTCTTGGCTGGGGCCAGAGCGGATGAAGCAGTGACTGCCAGTTTTAAGGCTGGGAGATGATGATGTCACAAGGGATAAGGGGAGCAAGAGAAGGGATGGGAGGGGAGAATGAGGGAGAAGAGAAAGGAGGAAGGAGGAGAAGAGAGAATGTTGTGGGGATAGGAAAGGAAACAGGGGAGAGGTGAAGAGGAAGGGATGAAGGGGTAGAGGAGGAGAGAAGATGGGAAAGGAGAGGAAAGGGTAGGAGGAAAGGGAAGTGAAGAGGAAGGTAGAGGAATGATAGAGGGAAGAGGAAGGGAGAGAAGAGAGAAAGAGAAAGGAGAAAAGAGCAGAGGAGGAGGAAAGAATGGGAAAGAGGAAAGCAGGGAAGAGGATAAGGCAAAGGGAGAAGAAAGAAGAGGAGAGGGAAGAGGAGGGAGAAAGACTGGAACAAGTAAGAAGAGGGGAGAGAGAGAAGAGAAGCTTGGCAAGAACACCTGCTCCTCACCAGCAAGGACTGAAAAGAGGAGCAGATGGGAGCTATGTCTTGACTACCCAGGGTTCACAGACCACAGTCAGAGCAATAGCAACTGAGACACACCCCAGGGGCTTTTTGTAGCCTCTGTTGTTTTTCTCTCCAAAGCACAGGAAGATTCATTTTAGAACAACTAGGCAATTAAAGCAGAGCTAGTGCACCCACAGGAGGCTCATTCTGGGCCCTCAAGTGGTCTTCAAGGCAAGGCATAGATCCAGGTTGTAGGAGTAATCCTTTGTTAAGCACCTCCTCTGTCCTTATTTGAGCTCTTTCCAGGACTAGGATGTAGGTGCCCATTTAGACCAGGTGAAATACTCAGCCAAAGCCCCATATTTGGTAAGTAGCAGAGCCAGAATCTGAACCCAGGGGTTCTGTCTCCAGAGTACTAAGGCCCTCCACACAGGAGGCAACCCCGGGCAGGGACAGGGCAATCCTTCCCCCAGCAATCTCCAGACGCCTGGCATCTTCAGAGACCTCTAATTCCATTTCTTCCCAATCATTTGAAACCAAGTGTGTTAGACAGTTTTTGCATTGCTATAAGTACCTGAGACTGGGCAATTTATAAAGAAAAGAGGTTTAATTGTCTCACAGTTCTGCAGGCTGTACAAGTATGGCTCCGGCATCTGCCTCCAATAAGGGCCTCAGGCAGCTTATAATCATTGCTCAAGGCAAAGGGGGAGCCAGTGATGTCACATGGTGAGAAGGGGAGCAAGAAAGAGTCAGGGGGAGGTTCTGGGCTCTTTTAACCAACCAGATCTCACAAAAACTAACCAAGTGAGAACTCACTTATCACCAAGGGGATGGCGCTAAACCATTCATAATGAATCCATCCCCATGATCCAATCACCTCCCACCAGACCCTACATCCAACATTGGGAATCACGCTTCAACATGAAATTGATGGGGTGGGGGTGGTGGGGACAAACATCCAAACCATATCCCCAAACTTTATTTTTCTGAAATTAGCATTCACTTTAGGTCTCCTTTGAGACCAATGCCACTGCAGACAGGTGGTCATCGAAAGTCACTTGTTTGCATTTTCCCTTCCTGGAGCGGAGTGGTGGGGAGAGGTAGGTCCCACCTCTGTGCAGAGCCTAACAGAGCTGACAGAAGGACTGGCCTCCTGGAGCTGAGTCTTCCACTTAAATCTGCTCTTTTCATTCATGATTTGTGATTGGTTAGAAGGGCAGGGATTGGGGAAATTTAATTTTGGCTCCCTGATTACAGATCCCTGTAGACAGATACAATTAGAATCTGGGGCTTAAGAAAATTAAATAGAAATGGACTAGACAGAATTTTCAAGAACTTTAAACATTTGATCACTACTTTTCTGGGGCTGGTGCTCACTGTAATTGCTCCTCATGCTTCTGGCTTGCTAAAGCTACAGAAAGCAAGGGAGGGCCAGAGGAAAGCCTGTAAAAGACGAACAAAATCCCACCTTTGGGGAATATTACAACGGGAAGCCTACTCAGCCAAAAAAGAGCTTCCTAAGATCCTATCATGGGTCAGGTGCTGTGTCAGAGGTTAGGAACACAGAATGTATGTGTCTGAGTCCCACCACAGAAACAGAAACCATGCTAGGCATTTCACACAGAGGAATTTAGTACAGGGAACAGGTTACACAGAAGATGGAAAGCTGAGGAGCCAAATAGGAGATGGTGAAGCAAGTCAGAACTTAACAACATCAGAAAGCTGCCAATTACTAGATAGAGGGACACAAGGAGGAACGTGGTGTTTTCAGAACCCAGAAGCCAGGGCTGCCAGGCCGGACTGGATCATACAGAGGAGCTATCAGGATCCGGCCACTGCACTCCAGCCTGGGCGACAGAGCGAGACTCCGTCTCAAAAAAAAAAAAAAAAAAAAAAAAAAAAAAAAAAAAAAAAAAAAGGAGCTATCAGGGAGACACAGCCACTACCAAAAACCCCTGAAAGAGAAGAGGGAAGAAGAGACAGAGGAGCATCCTGGCTTCTCCTTTATTCCCACTTTTTCATCTCCCATCAGTGCTCCCCTTGGTAGAAACTAGCCAGAAGCCTGCCACTGCCTGGGGATCCTGGAAAATGTAGTTCCGGGCAGTGCAGAGCAGAAAGCAGAAGGGAGAGAAAGGCATCTGACAGCAAACAGGCATGGAGAAGCACACAGGCAAGTGGCCCCAACCCCTGTCCTCAGGAAGCTCCTGGTCAGCCCATCACAAGGATGCATGAGAGGGAGCATGCAGGAGGCTGGCTGTAGGAGCCCAGAGGAGTGGCTTGCAGCTGAACCTGAGTGGTAAGGTTTCCCATCAGCACTATCGCCTGACCTGAGGTTTAAGGACTAAATGTGATTTGGAAAGGTCACCTCTGAAGTAAAGGGAAGAAGGGAAGGGGCCATCACAGCTAACACCTCCCTCCTTGTACCCTGAGGCATGCCAGGTACTTTACAGGCATACATGATCTCTCTGAGTCCTCAATACAGCCTTACACAGTGATATGAGTCTCACTGTACAAACGAGACTGATGCTTAGCAGTGTAAGATAAAAATGCCCAGGAGACAGGCAGGACATCAGGGTTGGAGTTGAAATGCAGTTTCATGGAGCCCAGGCTCTTGCTGGCCTCTCCCTGTGCAAGGGGCTGCCTTACTGTTATCATCCATCAGTCTTTGGGCAAATGTGACCTTTTCCAAATGCAGACAAACCTTAATCCAAATCTTAAAGGACAATGAAGTTAATAAGAGAAAGCACTTATTGAATTGGAACAAAAGACTATTTTATTAGCCTAATTACTTTTAACTCCTATTAAGTGTTTCAAAGCTCAATGGAAGTGGTTACTTTTATTAAGGTTCATTGTTTTAAGCTTAAAAAGCAATGTTTTCAGACTTAAAACTTCTCAAGAGCCCAGGTCCTTTGCCTCGTTGCAGACCCCCTGGCCTAAGCGAGCCAGGGGTGTCACCTATCTGTGGCCAGGTGTGAGTGTGAGCACACAGGGACTCTGAGCTTCCTCTTTACAGTGTGCCTCACACTTGCAATTATTTAATGATCTGTAACTATTGTTAATTGCTGTTCCCATCCTCCCGGGTCAGAAACTCCCCAAGGGCTGAGGCAGCCCTTGTGTCCTGTTCTCCTTCCTGGTGTCTCTGTCCTTTGCCCGTCAGCAACACTCACAGTTAGCCAGCCCATTTATCAAGCACATGTCAGTGCCAGCGCCTGTGATAGATGCCAGACATTTCTTTCATCCACGTACTCATTCAAGGAGCATTTATTGATCATCTAGTATGAACCAGCCCCAGTGGCCAGGCATTGAGGAAATCATTGGAAAGTAAAAGAGGCAAGTTAACCTCTCAACACAGATTTTGTTTTTAAACCTCACAGTCTTGCAGGTGTCATTGTCCTCATTTTATAAACAAGAAGAGTAAAGTTCAAACATGGTGAGCAGGTAGTACAAAACCACACCCCTAAGAAGTGACAGGGCCAAGACTCATCTCTTCCCTACTCAGCAGTTCCTCTCCTCCTTGCTGGGTGGGGTGGCAGGCAGAGGGAGAACCTGCAAATTAACTGGAGAAATTGGAAGACCCAAAGTCAATGGTTTATGTATTTCTCGTTAAAATAAGAGAGTTCCCTGTAATCCACTAGCCACAGAGGAATGATATTCTACTTGTAACATGCTCTACACAGTGCCTGGCATGTAACAGTCACCCAATAAATTGTGGCTAAAACAATAGTCTATCATCACTCTCTTGTTTCAAACCAAAATGGGACCATATTGCTCTTGTGCAGTGGTTCTCAACCAGGGACCATTTTGCCCCCCAGAGGACATTCAGCAATGTCTGGAGACATTTTCAGTTGTCAAAACTGGGGGTGGGGTGCTACTGGCATCTAGTAGGTAAAGGCCAGGGATGCTGCTAAACATCCTACAACATGCAGGACAGCCCCAAATGTCACTATTGCAGAGGATGAGAAGCTGGTATTGTGGAGACTTTTCCTGGGTTGTTGATTATTCTTTGATAACATTATTTTCAGTGGACACAGAGTGATTGATCACATGGCTGATGACTTCCTGGAATACATTAGTTTAAAAGTCTTTTTTTTTTTTTTTTCCTGGCCTTATAATCCAAGAATAGGATTAATCTTACCTCATCTTAAGAGACTTCCGGACAGTTGCAGCTGTCTACGAGATTTCCGCCTCGAAGGGCTTTGGGTGTTGCCACTGTTTGGCTCATTCCACTCCCCCTGGGTCGTAGTGACTTTCAGGGAGCCTAGAAGAGCTGGACAAAACCTGCTTCTTTGCAAAAAGAGTCAGGGTTCCAAATATTTTGTTACAATTTTTTAAAGATCACTCTCTCAAAGTTCTTTCTCTCTCATATCACAGACCTGGAGGCCCTTTCTTAGCCCCATTGTGACCTTTGGGGAATGTTAATGCATTTCTAGCTCATGGAAACCCCGGAAGCCAGTGTCGTGTGACATGAGCCCAGCCGGATTAGAATGATTTCAAATCTTTTTAGGATTAAAGAACAATGGCCTTGTCAGAAATGTCAGGATAATTAGAAAAAACAGTGCTGCTTTCCCTAATCAGGATGAGGTTCTGGGGGCTGTAAAGGCATCAGCCAGGAAGCAGCTCCATTTTCTCTAAAACATGAGGCCCTGGAAGACCTACAGGGTCAAGACTCTTGCCCCTGATACTCCACCTTGGCCAGAAGTGGGAGTCCTCAGTTTATCGTCTGCCAATTATACCTCAATAAAGCTTTTTAAAAAAATGTTTTAAGTCAGGACTATGAGGGGAACCTGGTTATCTCTGGCTAGAGGGATAAGGAGTTCAATAAAAGTCACAGAACTAAAGCCATGAAAGCCTCAGTGGTCATCTGACCCTACTCCCCTCTGTGAGAAGCCAGAGAAGAGACTTGCTAAGATTACTTAGTGATGGGGGAAGCTGGGACTCAAATTCAGATTTTCCTCTCTTGCATTCCTGACCCCTTTCCAATGACAATGAGGTCTAAGGAAAATAGCCACCACACTGAAAGCCATGCTGCCCTCTCTCGGGTTCGCATGCTTTCCAAACCGGGAGACATTATGAAGCACTGCACTGGGTTCAGGGTAACTAAAAGAACCATCTTACATTTATGAAGTGTCTGTCACTTGTTATGGCACTTTCATATTTGTTATCTTATATAATCTTTATAAGAACCAGGATGGAAAGGTAGTATCAAAATCTCAATGACTGATGAGGAAACCAAGGCACAAAAAGGTTAATTTGATTTTCCCTGGTCCAGGTGGCTAACAGCGGAGCTGGAACCTCAACACTGTTTGCCCAACCCTAATCCCCAGACCTTCCCCCGCTCCTTTGGGTGTCATATCTATTGCCCGAATTCCAAGGTCCCTTTTGAGAAAGCCCCACTGGTGGTCATGTGGAGGTTGAATCGTATCCCATCTGGCCTATGTCTCAGTATCCAGGGCCCAGGATCTGTGTGCAGGGCTGAGGGGCTATGGATCCTCTCTAGGAGTCTCAGCTTTGACACCGAGTCATGTTTTGAAAGTACATATATAGTAATAAAGGTAACCATTTTTGAGTACTTACTGTGTGTCAGGCACAGAGCTAGACCCCTCCCATGCATTTGCTCATTTAGTCCTCACAATAACTCAGTGGGGTAGGTACCGTTTTTATTCCCATTTTACATCAGCAGCTCTCTGATGCTCAGAACACCCAAGAACCTGTCCACATTTCCCAGCTGTGGAGCAGCAGAGCCTGCAATAAACACAGATCGGAAAGCCCCCCTTGCTTTATGCAAGTGCTGGTTAATGTCCTACTGTTAATAGGACTGTTACTAGCACTACATTTCACAGTGCAGGAGGGAAGAGCGTTGACTAATGAGGCTTTCTCAGGAATTCCATGTCAGGTAAGCTTTCGTTTGTTAAGCATTCACAGGATGCAGAGCCCTCTCCAGGCTCTGAGATCTGAGCTGCCCCCAAGTCAGAAGCAGAGGCCCAGTGTCCTTTGAAATCCTGATTCTACTCAGCTCCTTTTTTCTGAGCTCCAGGATGTGAAAATGATACATGTGGGAATAGTGGGCTCCACTATATTCAGGCTTGTGTTCTCTTTATGGGTGGGCAATGTGTGGGCATGAGGCCAGGAGGGAATGATGCCAAAGAAAACTGAGGTTCTTATATGCCCTGGAGATGGGCTCTGGGTGGGTGAGCAGGTCAGACCATGAGAAGAGGCACTTGAAAACAAAGAAGAGGGCGAACGGTTTTTAGGTTTTGCCCCCATCGTGGCTTTCTGGATGCCAGGAGGAATTATTGGCGAGCATCCAGCTGGACCCCAATCAGTGATGCTGCTGACTTTCTGGAACCTGCCGTTTTGCTCCTATTCACTTGTCTTTCATTTTTTGCCGTCCATCACTCTGCCGTAAAAAGAGACCTCTAACGGACTGCACAGTGACATCCTGCTCAGGTGGTCTCCCAGCCCTGCCCTGCCTCTCCCCTGCAATATTTCCTCAGATGCAGCGGCCAAGGCAGGCCATCCTCACGCCTGAGAAATCACTGAAAGGGGAATCTGGCTGAGCCCCCAGCTCCCAACCACAACCGTTTCCCTCCCTACTTTCAACTCTGCTAAATAAGAAAGCTGGCTCAGGCATGGTATGAGAGATACTATTGTGTCCTGCCTCTCAGAAGCAATGGGCACCACTTTACAAACCAGTTGGCATGGCGACTGAGCCAGGAGGATGCTTTCAAAATGAGCAATTTAACGTAAAATGATCCTTGCATTTTTAACTGAATGTCACATTCCCGTAATTGTAGGACAGCTAATTGGGTAATTGTTCAAAATGTCTTATTTCTGTTCTCATTCCACTGAATGTGTATACACGCAGGCGCACACACACATACACACAGTCACACTCACGATGGGCTATGTTACTAATGTCATGGTTACCGATGACCAAAATCATGAAGAGTTTGGCCTCAATGCTGGACAGTTTTGTGGCTATTGATTCACCAGCGTCATCACTACCTAATTTTGTTCAACCCAAGACACAGGCCCTTGTTCATTCCCCTCCTCTCATACAGAGGATGCTTGTGACTTTCAAGACATCAAACCTGTACTCTCACACACCCACTCCAACAGAGGGGAAATCTGCCTGATCAGGAGACTCTGACTTAGGAAAGTTATGGCACGGCTCTGCCTATGTTTTTGAATTCTGAAGCCCCAGGCTAAGCATATGTCTAGGGTTTATTGTATAGCCATCTTTTTTTCAACATTAACTCTGTGAAAAGCACACGTGTTGTCATCTGAGACAAAACTGCCTGTTCATTTGTTCTGATTTAATCCTGGATTCTGTGGCATCCATGCTTGGTGCCTGAACTGGAATCCAGGTTTTGAATTCACTGCTTTGGTATACTAGTTGCCACAAAATATTTTTTGTTGTAAACATTGCTTCTGAAACTGTAATCTGGTGAGCAATTCAGTTTTGCTGAGTTCCTATGTTAAACTGACTTTAGAGAGAAGGTATCCACCATACTCAGGACAGACTGTCCCTCCAAAAAGAGCATGGAGGACTAGTTAACTCATCTTATTTTAAATTCAAATTGCTGCTCTGAATAAACTAGAAGTAACCACATGTGCTCAACTTGTGTTTCAGCCTGGGGCAGCAGACTGAGTCTGCTGTTTAATTGTGCTGAAATCCAGAGATGAAAAGCTGGTAACCAACAGTCTGTCACTGGGAGTGGGTAATGGAAACCCCCCTCCATCTCAGATGACAGACACCATTCTGACCTTTTATTGCTGATTGCGAGCCTTTTGAGTGCAAAGCCTTCTCTTTTGTTCTGATTTTCTGACAACTGTTTAATCATGTTCTGTTCATAGAAATTACAGTAAAATACTCTTATTTCTCACGTATCAAACAAGATAATGCACATGGAAAAGCAAGTTCTGGAAACGAATAATAAAATCCTAAACCTCCCAGCAGTAGTGAAATCCTGAAGTATGCTGAAGGCTAGGTGTGTACAGATTGGAAGGCATAGAAGACATTCATCCTGCCACAAATATTTCCAAATACATTTGCCCTCAACCCAAGGTCCAATCATCAATAAAATAAAAGTCCAATTTTAACAGCACAATGGAAAAACTTTGAGTAGGGAACTGACATTTATTATCTTTAACGTATATTATTTTATCTGATCCCTACCATGGCCCTATAATGTATGTTCCATTAACTCCATTTTATGGACAAGGGAATCAAGGCTAGGGACGAGAGACAATTCCCCAAGGCTGCCTGGTCAATAAGCTGCTGGGTGCTGACTCTCAGGGCCCCATTCTGGTTTTCAAAACATTTCAACTACCACAACTCCAGTGTCCCATCGGCTGCCTTCCCAGCTGGCCACAGGTCGCTTCAGGCCAAGCAGCTGTTCCTAAGACGACCTCAGGGCTCGTGGCTGAAGAACTGTCCTAAGGACAGGCAAAGTGTTTGGCCACTCACTAAGAAGCAAACATAACCCAGTCTCCTTTCTTCTGGGTCTTCCTCATCCCACAGTGCTTCAGGTACCTCAAAAGCCTCTTGGCTCAA